TGAATACGTCACAATCCACCGACCAAATTGTCAATTTGGTGATGCACATAGATTTAGTGATTTTGTATTTCAAACATTCACTTTCTTATTATTGGTCCGATTTATTTCAAACTTTCGCCATCCTGTTTCTCCCATTTTTCCCACTACCATACATATGAAATTATTAGAAAGGTTGGATTTGCCTTTAATGTTACAAAATTTCAATCTAGAATTTTGAACGCAATAGCTGAAATTCCAATGTTAAAAGGTCATAAAAACCCCAGTGGGTGTATAATAACCTGAGATCCCAGCAAGGTATGTGATTCCTTTGGGCTTGTGTCACACTGATGACTTCAAAGCTAAAAGGTCATATACCCACAAGGTACATCGGTAATGCAGGATTGTCAAGTCAGTCATAGGTGACTGAAAACAGTCATGGAAAATAGTGCATGGTAAAGGGTGACATGTCACAAGACTGACATTCTTAGTGCAAGGAGGTAACTATAACTGATTGCATGTCCCAAAGCCTGCATTGCAGGTCACAGCCAAGTTCTAGTATCTGGAATAAAGAATGAAATCATAAACTCTTAACCCAGTTTCAGTTTATAGACCTGTCTAAACCAATCAAGTTTGGAAAATATGATTTTTAATCCATTTTTTAGTTACCTGAAAATATGAATTGCGCAAAAATACATAAGTATTTCTCCATGTCTAAAATATTATAATCATATAATGACTTAAAACTTCTAGGTAAATGCCCACAAATATGATTTACATGTATATCATATTGAACTCGCAATGCTAAATGCTGCCTTCTCCTTTATAGCAGAGGTAATATAGTGTGATGAAAAATAAATTGTATTACTAGTAGATGCTACCATCAAGCAGATGATTATTTTGATGGGAAATGAGATGTCCGATGATGTAGTGTCATCATATATGTAAATCTCTCTTAGTTCCCATTGCTATGGTAATAATATGCATTTCAACCGATGATACATGAATGTACTCACAAACCAAATTAGGCTACATGTATTGGCCGAATGATACATACAATAAGACTATAACAGACACATGATTTGCAGTCTGAAACATGTACAGTAGATAGTGCATGGTGTGATTCAGAACTTCCATCTCACCTCCTCCCCTGCCCATGACAATCATGACTTTTTTTTTTGGGGGGGGGGGGTGGGCAAACCATCACCAAGCCTGTTGAATGCGGTATCATCTTGTATAAAATTGAATTCTATTTCACACATGGTAAAATGACGCTCTATAAAAGAGTAATCTTCAAAATCGTTCAACATTAGTTTATACATGGCAGCCATTTTTTTCTAGCCGCATATTTTCAAGGTACATGTATGATGTACAGTAGTCCACCTAGAAATTGTGCAGGGAGGTCCCCTGAACATGTTGATACCAAACAATATTTTACAACATTCCATGTCTCATAAACCCCAAAATTGGGATTTTGCCCCTTGGGTACATATCATTTTCATATTTACTGCCGAAGAAAATAGATTCCGGACTTTGTCCAAAACAAATAGCTACCCATTTGATCTGCACTTGAAATGATGCTACCTTAAGAGCAGCTGATAGTGCATCACATCTGCTATGCACATTCATTTCCTGGCTTGTGCACATGCCATGCCTCCTTGATGTACAACAAGCCCATGAAGATATCTTGATCAGCGTAGAGTAGCGTGATTCATGTTCATATTATGGAGAATCCTCTTCCAGTCAGGAATAAATACTAGTCTCAAAGCAGATCAAGAAGTGTGCATCAAATGCATTGAGATATGATGATAGCATTCAAATTACTGGTAGCTTTTGGTTCTGGACAATCACTCACAAAAAAAACCCAAAAAATTCGAGTCTGTTTAATAGGGGTTGCAAATTACTCTACTATAGTCAAAATATGAGCTTCAAATATTACTTGCATAAAGAGATATATAAAGAGATAAAATAGGGCCCGCACAGAACCCAAGTCTGACATAGGTTCTGTACATTGGGCTTTATGTTTATTCTTTATTTTTTTCATACTCCTTATACATGTTGTAAATCTGTAGCTAATATAATTTTGTTTAGAGGATGACTATATATATATATATATATATATATATATATGTGCTAGCCAAACTCAAAATATATTTTTAGGTGATTGGTAAGCCTACAGACTCTTCTACCCCTAATATGAAAAGGGTTCCATACAGGCATGTTTGTCTCTTAGATTTCACCTCCTTGATTTCTCTACTAAAAAGCCAATGAGTTATTCATGAATTGTTAGTGGTATAATTGCTTTCAAGATAAATACTTTGGGATTTCAGGTCCTAAATCTATGGCTACATTTTTCAAAACTACATTAGGGTAATTGACTTTAGTGTATAATTTTTTTTTTTTTTTTTTTTTTTTTTTTTTTGGGGGGGGGGGGGGGGGGCAGTCGGATCATTTGCTAGTTCAACCATAGTTCAAGGATTATAGTATGATCATCATGATGTAAGCTTGCCAATGCCATTTAGCCATAATGGGTAAAGATTGGGAGGATGTTCGGTAGAGAGGGAGGGAGAGAGAGTGAGGTAGGGAAAAATAATGGGAGACCAACAAAAAATGGGGACTTCAACATTGGAGGTCTTCTCCTCAAGGTTTGTTTAGTGGTCAATTTCTATCCAAATTGGGTATTAGAGAAAGGTTGTCCAGTGGTCAACTACATTATTCTCCAATTAGGGATCAGTGTCGCATGCACTCATCATATGCTTACAATGTTGGGCACTACAAGTTTAGTATTGATGCCTAAATTCGTTTGGATGCATACCAAAACTTTCATGGGGATACTGTAGAGCATATGATCTACTGGAACTCTGCCAATAATCTACATGTGTAGCAGATTAAAAGAAAAGTGTGTTTTTATGTTTTCAATCATTTGATACCACTGAAAAGATGTTGAAGTCACAATAAAAGCAATGACAAAGAATAATGTCATCATCGGGCATGGAATCCCATTCATGCATTAGGGCATCAATGCACAAAGTCGTTTTTTTAATGTAAACATTAAATTCCTGAATTTTCACTTCAATGAACAGCGTTGTATTGAATTTTGTCTCATGGATGGTTCTAACAGGCATCTACAGTGGAAAGACAAATTAAACCTGTCTAAATTTCATTTATCAAAAGCAAGTTTAGACCAGTCATTGGGCTTACATGTAACTGGATCTGAAGAATACTGGCCAAGGTGTCAAAATATTCATTTTTTGCCCCAAAAGCACATTTTTGAGGGGGGGGGGGGAATTGATTTTATGTTTTTACTATGTTTTGTAAAACAAAAATGGAACTGTTATCCACTACCGATATACATTATCGGTCAATAAAATTGAATATTGAGTTACTGTTTTATTCCCATTTGAATCATCGATTTACAGGTGTACAAATAATTGTATAAGACACTGTATTTCATTTACAGTAATTTTGCTCTAGCTTTTTACATGTAAAAATGACTGATGAAAGCCCCAAAAGCTCATTTTTGAGGGGGGGGGGGGAATTGATTTTATGTTTTTACTATGTTTTGTAAAACAAAAGGGAACTGTTATCCACTACCGGTATACATTATCGGTCAATAAAATTGAATATTGAGTTACTGTTTTATTCCCATTTGAATCATCGATTTACAGGTGTACAAATAATTGTATAAGACACTGTATTTCATTTACAGTAATTTTGCTCTAGCTTTTTACATGTAAAAATGACTGATGAAAGCCCACTTTTAGCCCCTAAAGCAATTTGTCAAATTTCTTTGATTGTGGTTGATATCAAGGGGAGCATAATATTGCCCAAATTTCATATTCCAAAGTGGAAAAATAGAGGAATCTAAGTTTGGGCAGTGATTACGATCCAAAGGCTAGAATTTTATCTCATAATGTATATTCTGTATTGTCAAATATGTCCATGGAAGATTCTGAGTTTTTTTAATATTCTGAAAGGGCTATAAGTGTACATGTTAATATAGATGTAGTTTTATGCATCATTTTGTCTTATTAAACAGAGGCTTTGACGTCATCATAATGCAATTTAAAGTAAGACTTTATATTTTTTAATAAATGATGTCATATTCTCAATTTTTCTTTTGACAGCATGATCAGCGTCTCTCTCGTTTCTTCTCCATTGTCTTCTAAATTTTAATATGCTTGAGCTGAGAGTTTGCACTACGAGAGGTGTTTCATTTAGACAATGGGATCATATAGTCAAATTTTAGAATATTTGCCTTAGAGCTATTTTGGCCCCTTTTTACCTTTGATCTAGAGTTGTGTTCTTAAATATTCTATGGAACAAACATTGATGTGCTACAGTACATGTACTTGTATATATTGTTATGACATGACAGTTTACATAATGGCACATACATGTATGACAGCACATCATTATAATTTTCAAATGAGTACATACCACCTATCCTTGTACAGTCAATATATTAGTATATATTATGAGTATAATCTTCACTTTTTGTTAACATAACTTTTTTTAAAGGTTTTTGAAAGCTAAAAGCTTTTTAGAGCTCAATCACTTATCCTCTTCCTCCGTTAGTTTTCTTTGTTTTGTTTTTAGCTACCGTGATAAAGCAGTTTTTCTGGATTCTCTATTAATTTGCCTCCAATGGATATGGTGGAGTTTCAAATCGATGCATTTAAAAATCTTCCATAGAGCAGAAAAAATTGGATATAATCAAAATCAGACTTACTCAGATCATGGCCAACCAGCCATCAAAGACAATTCAGTTTGGTTCAGGAGAATAATAAATTGTGAGACTTTCCCCACTTGAGTGGATGTTCTCAAGTCACCATGTAATATGCACATTACAGTACACAAAACTTGTAATGAGTAACACCAAACTTAGAGAGTGATTTCCGGTTGAATAATCTGTAGATACTAGATATTATAATTCTCCCTACATAATAATTTTAATATTGTATTCGTATCCTGGTCTATCTTTAACCATGCAATATTTCTCTTCATTTTTGTTTTTGCTACAGATTCTTGAGATGGAAAGTCGTGACGATGCAGAGTCCTTTGCTTGCCTTCTGGATGGCTACTACCGTCTTCTTGTAGATTACTATCATTACCTCAGTGAAACAATTGCACCGCCCTCTCTTGTCAGACTAGTCAAGAATAGATGCCATGGACCAATTCCGTATGTTCCTTTTACTACTTTATCAATTAATTGATTATTAATTAATTTATTTGCTTATTTATGTACTTGATTTTGTTAAGTTCATATTTATTTATCAACAATATTACTGCTAGTCCCTTGTGTTTCATTACATTTGGTTATTTTCAGTCTGCTTAAATAAGTTGTTGCCTATTCTTATCTTTAGTGCTTGTCTACACATGGTAATCTCTGAATGCTTTTGGTACCATATATGTGATTGGGTCCCAATAACAGATCATCTTGGGGGCGCAATAACAGATCATCTTGGGGGTTGTGCAAGTTACATATCATGTAGTATATTGACTTTACATGTTTGTAATGTGTGCTTCCATATTCAAAGGTTTGACAAAGAGTACTCATAGATTTTTAGTGTTTAGAGATGGTTTTATGACAGAACTTCTGACAGATACCCTATTGAAATTTAGTTTGAATACTGGTTTAAAAGTGCCAATTGACAACCTTTCGTAATGTCAAATATAAAGACAAATAATTCTTGAAATTGTTGTATTTATGATCATACATTTTCTTCAATGTAGGCTCTCCAAAGCAAAGCAAAAGATTGAAGAAACTGGTCGTCAAGAAGGTGTGTACCTAATCCGTCAGAACCCTGAGGATCATTACAGCTACTGTTTGACTGTCAGGATACATGCTAATCAAGAGCTTAAGAACTTCAAGATTAACTGTTATGAAGGTATGTTCATTACTGATCTTGATTTCATTTGATTTTGGTCAATTCTTGTTATCACAAATATATTAAAAACACCCGTATGTTAAAGTTCAGGCCCCATTTTAAATGCACCCTGGGATAGTTTGGTGACCAAGTTGCTTCTGAGCTATTTCACGCTGCTGCGCTATATATGCCAGGATTGATTGTGAGTGTGTGTGCACTTTATTTTCTGATGGTAATCATAGTGATTTATCACAATTTCCAAGCAATTTCAAGAGTGGATCATTACGAAAAAGATATGAAAATGTTGTTAAACATACTTAAGTAAGATATTTGGATGTGTGATGGGCAAGAGCAAGTAGAAGCATAGAATAATAACATCAACTTTTTTTGGTTGTGTTCGTTGGCAAGTGCGAAAACTTGTCTCATATACTATCGGATGGTAATGCAATAAAGGGTTTGTTGGCCTGTTGGACGAGCAACGGACATGCTACGTTTTGATGGGGTATTCTGAAGTAAAGGGCCCTCCATTGTTTCAATTTGGTCGTTGATATGGTTTGGACTCTTATCTTTTTCTTGTTTTTCATTGCTGCCTTCACAGAAATTTAGGAACCTAGAAATAGCATTCGGACACGGACGTACGTACATAACACATATGCATAATATGTGTACTGCGCTTGCGCCGCTGCCGTACACAGGAATTGTGGAAATCCTGGAAGTGGCTCAAAATTACATCCAAGAGGCCACATCCGGGCATTTGGGGCGTATTGGTGATAGCAAGAATTGCTGAGCTGAGTGAATTGACAAATGAGTAAAAGTTGAAAGATATGGTAACACAGATAGGAACATTCTTGAAATTGATTCCATTTGATTTCATTTACCAGCTGTAATGATTCAACAAATGAAAAGAAGCTGAGGAAATATGGTTTTGTACAAAACTATTTTATTTCTCTACTCTTTCTTTATTTGTAATCTGCATCTGCGTCCCTCTGTATGTCTCTCTCTTTCTTTCTCTCTCTCTCTCTCTCTCTCTCTCTCTCTCCTTTCTTCTTCTTTCATTCTTGCAATCCTTGTCTCTCTATCTCTGCTTGACACCACAAATCTTTTTTCAATGGCATGCTTCTTTTTTATATTTTGTGATATTGTCATGTTTAAGCAACGATTCTTCATCTGTAGAAGGGGAATAAAGGGAATTCCCTTTTCAAAATTTCAGTCTATGATATTTGAAGTGGAATCATCATCCATGAGGTACTTGTCAAGGGCTCTTGGTTTGAGATCAAAATTGATTTTAACATGTGTTTTCTCAATGGACCTCTTGCTTTGTTGTACATGTATACTGGTCTGATCATTAAATGTTGTAATGTTGGCCTACTGTACATACACATTATTTTACCATAATCCAATCAACACAACATCCATCCAATAACAGAGTTTAAAATGAACATTTCTGCCTTCAGTTTTAAACTTCATGTAACATACATGTATAAATCATGTAAGGAATTTAGAAAAAATAAATCTTGTTCCTATGAAAAAAATCCTTTTGTCTGGAAAAGATCTTCTTCCCATGCTCCTGTTACATTTGATTACCGGTAAGGTCATTTCCAAGTGTAGCAGAATGACATCTTTTTCTAGAGAAGTTTCAAATTTGAATACCGGGGGTAAAGAATATTATAGACATTTTGATAAAGATATTTTAATTAATGCAGAGCTGCCAACCAGTACAATTTTAACTTTTTTGGTACGACAGTATGATTTTTCCTCAATAAAATACAATTTTCAACAAACAAAAAACATGATTTCTTGAAAACTTGAATGTGCCTGTGTATTTTGTGTGTGCCATTTTTAATGGCAAATAGCCCATTCTCTCCTGCAAAGTATCCTACAGGCATCTCACATCGGCAATTTGGGGATGTTCATTGGTCCATTGAACACACCAGTCATGACAAACTCTTGCATATTCAACAAAATGTTTGTAAAATGTACTCATGCATAATTCTTCAAAATGTCAACGAACACAGTCTAACAAAAAGAAAGTACTTATTGATCAGTTTTTTTTATTGAAAATAGGATTTTTGTTCAGTTGGGATTGGCAGCTCTGTTAATGATATGTTATACATATATTAATTAAATATGAGGTTCATTGAAAATATTTGGGCATCCTATCGACCGTTCATCAAATTTATAACATATTGAATATTTTGTAGGTTTGTTTTTTGGGTCACTCTTAAAGGTAATACAAAGTTTTTGGTATGGGGTCATGAATTTGGTTCAAATGAACATATTGGAAGCATATGCGACCCTACAATATTCAGTGATTGTTGTCGCGGTTGAAATCGAGTCTAACATTTTGAAATTGTTGATAATAAACTCTGTATGTTGTATAGCTCCCTCTCAAGGTCAAGATATTAATTAAGCTATACAACAATGTTTCTTGACTAAAATCGACCTATTAGCTATTCCCGTTTGGAAATTATATATCACAACTACATATTCTGAGATTTTCACGGTCGCAGCTACCCGCATGTACATCCGTAGGCGCTATTTGAAATATATTAAAATTTACCGGGAGCACTGGTAAATTTGTATATTTTATTTTTCTCAAAAGCCGAAGTGTTTTAGGGGCTTAATTTTCTAGTGCTTATAATACATCCACAGGGTCATCCAAATATATCAAAATTGTAAAGAATCACTATCCACTAAATTTTCAAGATTTCCCAAAACTTTGTATTAGGCCTACTTTTAACAAAGCTATTTAAAATCTCATGAATTTGATGAATGTTTGATTGGAAAGTAACTCAACTGTTGTGAAAGTACAGTACCTGATATTCGTTATTTGATATGTTATATCTAGTATAATTTGTTATTTTTCATTAAAATGTCCACAACCTTATTTTTATCAAAATTGGAAATTCTCTGGAAATGAAATTCCATAATGCTTTGAATATCCTTGTAATGAAGACCCATCTGTATTGAATTTCTCAATTAATGTAAGTCCCTGAAAGGAGAACTAGTGAAAATGTAGCAGTTCAACAGTTTCAAGGCTGAAGATAGTGGAGATGAAAGAAATAGTTGATGCAGTGTTATCTAAGACTTTATGGTACTTTCAATCAGAAGAAAAATATGAGTAACAGACAACTGATATTCAAAGATCCTGATTGATTGAAACTAATCTTTCTGATGATACAGAATTATCAATCATGAATTGTATTCCACCAGTGGAAGTTTTGGAGTGATTTAGAGTGCGTTTATGCTCAATTTTGAAGGCAGAATGAGCGATTTGAAATGCTCATCGTAAATGCAGTTCCACGGTGTACTGTTTATGCTAACTTCTCTGGCTCCTCCAGGCATGATTCTGGCTCTGCAGCTGGATTCACAAACCTGCACTGCGCATGCTACGTTGACCCCATTTAAACGTGTTTACAAATGATTGTGCGTTTATGCTTCTCCAGAATCGCCGATCCAAAACGCACCTTGTTGTGAGTTAACGATCGGCGATTATGATCGCCGTTTTTCAGTGATTCTACAAAAATGAGAAAGGACTCAACCGTGTTTTGAACTAAACGGTAACAAATGCCTCATTCTGGCCTGAAAAAGTTGAGCATAAATGTACCCATATACATTGTATGCCCAAAATATCTTAAATTTCCTCAAGACACAATACCCATGTGACTGAAAGGCTGTCCATATCATTTTATTTTTGCCCCAAAATGACTGCCACTGTATAGAGTGACTTGACTAAAAATCAGTGAATTTGTTTCTTAACAAAGTAAGTGCATATTTAGTACTGTAGAAAGGGTTCAACCTAGTTAACTGTTGAATACATGGTGGTGCCAGGATATGTGTCAAATATATAAAGCAATTTTGTTTTGCTTTTTACATGTCCATTTACAATGTACATCTGTATAAGAGTTTCAGAGCTCCCATCCATTCTCACATGATGACATGAACATTTGTTTAATTATAAGACATGGAGACTTGATTGTCCTGTCAGAACACTGCAGTTCAGATTTTGTCAATAGGATGTTCATGACAGCTATAGCTGCATGTCATTCTGGCTCAATCCGGTTTTAAAAGCTGTATGAACGCACCTTTAGAAAAAGCACAATAGACTATGTTTTTTATGTCTTACAAGTTTGTTGACGACAGGAATGTAACATAATCATGTAGCAAAAAAAGATAAATGTACATTATCAGTTTTCCCTGACCAGGATGTGTCTTCAGTAATATGCAAAGATCAACAGGGGTCAGATGAAACTTGATTTATACTTCTTTTTTTCTTAATTAATTTGTTAGGCTGAATCAGGTAGACAGGAAATGTCAATATCTTTTACTTTCTCTTAAATGTGATTGAGTGGTTGTGGTCTTCTGAAGATCTGTAATCAATACACCAATCATGCCTCTGCTTTCATCCTCTATGCTGACTCCATCTTTGTGCTCAGTAATTCAAGCAGCATGTATACTCTAGTCCAAATTTGATTTTAAAGGCAGCGAGCGCTATCGATGTGAAGACATAGTGACAAGAAAGCTTATCCAAAGGTTTGTGGTAAGGGACTTTCTTGCAACTGGTCAACTCAACATGAGCTAATGAGGCTACTTACCTCATTTACTATACTGAAGCAGCATACATGTAGTTGAAATATGATAGAGAGCAGGCAAGTGAAGATAAATTCCCTTAAAGCTTTAATTAATGAAACATTTCTTGTATGTATGATGAAACAGTACAGAAGCGCCATACATGGCAAATTTAGGATACCTAAAGATGTCTTTGCTAAATATGCAGTTTATAACATGGGAATGATGTGGTTCAAAGTATGACATAGCTCAATTACAGCATTAGATTGCTGTTGTGGTTGATACACAGACATGGTACATGTAGGTATCTCAATACATTTAGGAGCTTTCACTCCATCCTGATTATACAGAAAATTGCTCTCTTTCCCCATTCAGACTACCAGAATTATATCACTATACATGTACATGAACATGGTATACACCTGTAGCTGTACAATACGTCATTACCTTTT